AAAAAAAAAAAAAAAAATGTTCGCCTCCCGCGAAGAGAGAGCTGTCTGCGATTCCCGCTCGCGACAATTCGTTCATACGCTCGCATGCTGAAACCCGAACGACGCCGTATCATTCCGCCCATTTTCCCGATTCAAATTCTGACAATTTTCGCCGCCTTAACCACCGGATTCTCTCTCGCGATCGCTTCCCGCCCGGCGGACTTGTAGTCGTAGCTGCAGTCGTGGCGGTCCGAGTACCGGTGGCTGGCGCAGAACAGCTCGCCGCAGCGGCACCTGAATCCTGCCAGCCCGACCTTCCTCCGGCATCCGGAACAGCGGCTGACCTCTCTCTTCGCCGGCGCAACGGCCGCAGCCTCAACTGACGCCTCCTCCTCCAGATCGCCGCTCGCCCGGTGCAGATCCGAGCTTCCCTCCGTCGAAAACCTCGCTGGCGGACCGGATCTGAAGGATCCCTCCACCGCGGTGGCGCGGCTCTTCGCCGAATTGAAGCATTTCTGGCACATGATGCTGGCGGCGGCTGAGGCGTGATTTCCGACGACGCCGCATTTGACGCACAGCGCGATATTGTCCGGTACGACCTTTAACTCCGTCTCCTCTTTCTCCGTTCTCTGCGCCATATTTTGCTTTGTTTTTCTTTTCCTAGTCGGATCAAAAAGAGATGAAATTGAGAAAAAAAAAAAAAATGGGAGGAAGGTGGGTAGAGAGAGAAAAACGGCGGTGGTGGGGGGTTAGAGAGAGAGAGAGTGGCTGTGCGTAGGGGTGGTGGCCTGGGATTTGAAGGCCGTAAAGGTCGGCCATAGACGCGTATCGAGCAAATGGTGGCTGTGAATTGACGGATATGCCCTTGGATGTTTAACGTAATTGCGACGACGTGCGCTCAAGACGAGTCTGACGTGGTAATTACATGGATTCTCGTCATCATTTTGTATTTTTAGTTTTTTTTCCCCCATGGTGTTGATATTTTGATTTTGACCGCTGAAAGTGATTGATAATTTGATATTTAATTAAATTGACATTTTTTGTCACGTAGCTTTTTTATTTTTTTTTTGGTTAAAATAGATAAAAGTTTAATAAACAGTATAATAACAGTTGAACTAATATTCTTTTTTATATCGAGGTTCCAGTCTTGCGCCTGACTATTCCTCGAGGAAATAGTCCCCGGCCCCTCAGAAACTGCATCTAATTAAAACGCGGTAGCTACGCAATGACTCCCAGTTTCTAATACCCTCAACTACCGCGCACAAGAAGTCGATCCCCAAGTGATTGCTCGCTGATCCTCCCCATCTATCCAGCTGCAGGGTCCCACTGAAGTAGTTGCTTCATGCTGGCCCCCCAACTCATGCTGACCCCACCTATCCAGCCGTTGGTTCCCACCGAATTTCAGCCTTCTACACTGCCGCTAGTAGCTTTCAGTATTAATTGTTCCACCATTTGCGCTCCGGAACTTAAACCCATGACCTCTGGCCATGGCTACCTCACTCTTAACCAGTAGTCTTTAACGAGTAGGCTGAGAGGTCATTGGTAGTTAAACTAATTTCTTACCTACCAATTATCTCCAATTTCCCCCATCATTTATAAAAGTTAGCATCGTGGGGAAAAAAAAAATAAATATAAATTCTATGTTGACTGCGAAAACAAATATCTAACATAATACCAATATTAGAAATATTATATGAAGAATGAATATTTTATTCAATTTTGCATCATATTGGAATTTGGCAAATGAGAGACAGGCAGCCAAAATGTAGCCGTCCAATTTGGTTGGTAATGGAGGCCACTTAAAAAATAAATAATATTAATATTATCATTATCTTGTAATCTTGTTTCCACCCTCTTCAAGGGGTTCACGTTATTAGCCCACATTCTTTTAACATACATATGTATGTATTCTTTTAAATTTAGATATCATATTCTAAAAAAATATATATATATAAAATTGTATACGCATGTTATACATTGAAATATCATATCATATTCTAAAAACAAGATACATAAAATTGTGGCACATATAAATAGATATCCCATTTATACTAAAAATTTAAGGTGGATTTATTAAAAAGGCACATCGAACCAACCAATAATGAAAAATTGTCTTGTCTAATTTGTTAAAGAAGTTAAAAAAAAAAAAAAACCAACTTGCACACTGTAAACTTTTGCCGATTTTCTAAAAGGTCCATCGTCGTTGGCTGATCTTGACTCGAGTATAGATTTCTCGTCGGATCTGTTTAGCCGTTCCCTTGAAAAATTGAAGTTCTTAGGTCTAAAAGTGTTGGGTCCGGAGATTGGAGTATGTGGTTGACTTTGGCCCACAACCGGCCGGAATTTCTACGGCTCATTGGACCATAACCTTGGCTATGCAGATCGATCTTTTTTTGTCCCAACAGTACGGGCCAGGTGGACCGGGCCGCATCAAAAACCGTCAGGTTGGTGACCCGACGGTTCAGGGCCGGTTCATTAGAAATGGCCGTGCCTATTATGGGCCATCAAATTGAGGCACGGGTCACTTTCCGAGTTTGAAGTGCTCTTATAATAGACACTACGAGTATTTGTCTCCTTTGCTTAAATGAAGTTTTTTATAGAACAATCTCCTTTGTCGAGGGAATCTCTCCCTTAAGAGCACCCACAATGCTTTGGGTTTCTTAGAAAAAAGTTACATGCCATGTAAGAAATAGACATAGTCTATAAAAAAATGTTCTCCAATGCAATTAAAAGTGGACCTAGTCTAGCTTATGTGGCAATAAAAAAATGAGACCTAGTCCACACTTGGGTCTATTTTAGACCCAAGTACAAACCCAAGCACTCATCATTTATTCCTCATTTAATTTTTATTTTAATAAATGAAATATACTAGAGCATTTTTATTGGTTGTCATGTATTCTAGACCTAGTACTTTTTTGTTTTGCATTGGATAGATTTTGATTTTTTTAGTTTAGGTTGTCCATGTCATTATGGACTTAAGTCTATTTATTTGCCACATATGCAAAAAGAGACCCAAAGCATTGTGGATGCTCTAAATATAAAACTAGCAAAGGTAAAAAAAAGGCGAATTTTACCAATCAAATTTCTGCAGATCAGCAGAATTTTATAAACCTTGTCAAATTTGACACCTCACACAATATAAATTCACAAGATAAACATCATCAAGATTGATAAACCAGCTACAGATATTATTATCACACCTAAAACCTAAACTCCATGCCATAACAAAGTCAAGTGCAGAAATTAAACCATCATAAATAATAGCCAAACCAAACCAAACCAAACCTTAAACAAAGCACTAAAACACAGGACCACAACCATAGGATCACACATTCTTGTTCTAAATGAGAACACCCGAAATTTGTTCGGCTCGAAAGAGACCCCCCCAACTTACTGCATTTTAACCTCTCAAACCCCAAGGAAACCTCTATCGAACACCACAAGACAAGTAACCCACACGTCTAATAATAGATGAGATGGAAAGAAGGAAAGAGAGAAAGCATAAAACATTACCCAAGAGGCACGCAAGAACGAACTTTCACAATTCTATATCTTGTCGAGCTTCTCAGCCTTAACGACAGGATTCGCTTTGGCTATGGCTTCCTGGCCTGCCGCTCGATAATCAAATGGGCAATCGTGTTTGTCAGAATAACGATGAACGGCACAGAAAATATCGCCACATCGGCAATTGAATCCCGTCAATCCAACCCGCTTCTTGCAAGTCCCGCACCGTTTCGGGCCCTGTTTAATTTCATCTTTCTTCTCGCTTACAGACAGTGCTGCTGATGATTCTTGTGGTGAAGGTATAATAACAACCTCGGACACAACAGCCTTTGCTTTTTCAACGGCATTGATGTTTTCCGGGTCCTTGTCTGTGGTGCTTGAGCTCCCATTCACTATGCTTTGTATGGAGGAGGCAGCAAGTTCGGCTTGCTGTTGCTTCAAGACGAGATCTTTGTAGCACTTGGAGCACATGTTCATGGTGGCTGCAGTGCCAAAAAAGCCACAGTTGTTGACGCATAAAATGGGGGCTTGAGGAGTTTGGCAGCCCGTCTCGTTTTGTTCCATTATTGAGAATATCCTGCAGCGAGTTATTCACCCGAGTAAGTAATAATCAAAGCATATAAAGAACGTAGTTCGGAATTATGAGAAGCATATTGTCTACTTTTGAGCAAGAAAGTTCATTTGGAGAAAATATACATATATATATATATATATATATATATATATATATATAGCAAAATGTAGCCAACAGGTCACAAGCTCATTTAACTCAAGGTTCCTCCTCCAGCACAACTGTATGAGAAAAGCATATGATATATTCCTCCATTTGAAGAGGCTGCTGGCTAATCCAAGTTATGGACTTTGACTGTTGATAAATTTGGGAAGAAGCTACTGCTTGAATCAATTCAAAAGTAGACATAAAGAAGTTGGAAGCTTAAAGGTTCCTCCTAATTTACTGCCCCGACTTGTCTTTAATTTGGTAAGAAGCCACTGCTTGAATCAATTCAAAATTACACGTAGAGAAGTCAAAAGCTTAAAAGTTCCTCCTCATTCTTTACTTTACTTCCCCAACTCGTCTTTAATTCTCTTTAGAGCTGTATCAGGATAGGTCCCACGTATCTGAGGAAAGTCTGGTCAAGCAACATCAATACCCAGCATAACTACTTTTTGAAGAATGATTCTGAGGGCCCAGGTCAGAAACTGAAACTGAACCTCATTCAATTGGAAAGATTATCAGCCTGATATATTCTATTCTCGACGGAGGAGAAAACAAACCAACATAGCACTGAATTGTCCTGCTAAACATGGCAGGTTGGGATGGCCGGAAGGACAACAACTGAACCCTAAATCTCCCAAAATCAGAGAACAATAGCCGGAGAGGAGATATATCAAAAGATCCAGAACAACACAAACAAGATAAATCCAATGATGACCACAGAATCTACGGGTGACTTATAGTTATCTGAAGTCAATAGAAGCAGAGCTCGACTTTCCAACACCCAAAAACTGCTTGATTAAGGTAAAGAAATCAATAGACATCAAAACCGGTTGTGTGATTTTTGAAATAAACATACTTGCGATTGCAAGGGCCTGAGAAACCAAAGATCATAAAATCAGAAGAATTATACCAAACAGAATAGAATATAAAGTCCTCATGGCAATGGAAATAAAAGGTTCTTGGACTCATAACGAGCTACATATCTGCTTTCCTGAGGGGTATTGAGAAGTGCTGGAGCACAACTAAGCATAGCTTTAATGGGAAGAGGCGAGGCGATTGGTCCATGGCCTCACCACGAGGCGACTCGACATGGCAAGGCCTCAGCTACACGTCACCAAAATGTCGAAACACAATTGTATATTGTGCTCAAATGACAAAAATAACATCATATATATCCAAAAAGGCAAGAACACAAATGAAACACAAGTCCATAGCACAAACACCACATATGGAAATACATATAAAACATAAAGTTTGGCACATACCTAGTTAAATACTAGAAATAAGCAGCAAGCCCATTTGGCACACATAGCTAAACCCTAGTTTTATGTGAAAAAACTTTGTTCAGCTGATTACGACCAGCCTGTTTCTTTCCTTTTAATTTCACATCATCTCTTTCCCTAGTTAAAAACGTGTTTACGAGTTTATTTGTATTTTTTTACATGCCTCACCACGCGAAAAGGCGAGCTGAGGAAACCTGAAAAACAGGGCCACTTCAGACAGTGGCGAGTCGGTTGACCCCTCTCCTCAATCACCTAAGGCGACGCCATATTAAACTATGCAACTAAGTTAAAAAAACATAGTTAACCATTAAAAATTTAAATTCAACTTAGACATATACAACTCCATCACTGATTACAATAAACATCCAAGCTGCAACCCCAGTTGAAGTCTTTTTAAAGTACAACCGAATTACAACTAGCGGATGAATGCATCATATGTCCATAAACTTACTGTCTCGAACACAACAGAGAATACACAACACACGAGTAACGCATGTATTCGAGAGTTTCAAAATGAAATTTCTTTGGTCCTATCGAGGCTCTCAAACTAAAAAGCTCGAGCAGCCTCTTGGAAGGCAACACTCTAATCTTGCGCCAACACCCATATAGAGCCACCCATCATTCAACGATAAGAAAAACCACAAATCATAACATCTCCAACCTAAATCCATGTATATACTTGTCGATTCTCTTATCTATCCTATATTCTAAAATAATCTATCTAGTGCAACCCTTCTCTTCCTACCTCTTTTTGCCTTCCACGACCCAATTCTTAAATCTCTTTTTTACAATTCCACCATTCGTTCAAACACTTTAGTACTCATTTTGGGAGTAAATTTGTAAAAAGTCCATTTCTCGTCTTCTTCAAATGTCTTCCACCTTTTTACTTCTATAGAAAAGAGAACCAACTTTTCTACAAGTCCATTCTTAATTTGTCACCAACTTGGTAAATATGCATCAAAAAGTTCATTTGAGAATCGTTCCTAAACAAGCTGTTAATAATCGTCGGCCCATATCAAGATCTCCAAGAACAACACCAAAGCCTTACACTTTCACATAGCCTGCAATCCGAGCATTAATCGAGGAAAGACACCAGAACAAAAGGTCGACCCCAACGAAATTCCTATAATTTTACTAACAGCCTCTCCTATATATGATTTATAACCTAATTATCACAACACAAGAAATAAGCTACACATCAAACAAAAAAAAAAAAAAAAAACGCACTTATGATCAATCGCGTGTTAGCCAAAACCTACACCGACCTGTTCGCAAAAGGAGACGAAATTCGAACGGCTCTTTAACAGCTCTCCTCTTAATCCCCTGTCAATTCGCCATAGAACAAAATTTCAAAACACCGTCAGAAAATCACAGTACATTAGATAAACGTTAGAGAGAGAAAATAGGAGAGAGAGACGAACCCTAAGGGCGAACAGGATGAGAGAAAGTCGAGAGAGAGAGAAAGGAGAATTTGGAATGAATTAGATGAAGGCTTGGCCGACTATTATAAATAACATTAAGAAAGGTATACGATTGTCTGTAATCGGTGCAGCTGGTCCTCTGCCACGCGTCGGGATCTCATTGGTGTAGAACCCACAATGGTGTCCTTTACCGTCTGTTTAGAGGATACGTGGCGTTAGTTGGGAGATTGCGTTTTGATCAGATTCTTCAAACCGACTTGTTGTAGGAACGTGACGAGAGGGAGAGAAAAATTTGACAATTTTAAATGCTTTGGTTGGACTTTAGATTAGTGGACAATTTTCCAATTCCAAGTACTCGTTGAATTACAATGTATGGTTTCTACTTAGATAGAGTTAATTTATTAAATTGAATCGAGTCAAATATTCTTATTTATTAAACAAATACGATGTCCAACACATCGTATTCAACACAATTTAATATAAAACGCATACTTAGATCAAAATGGTTCAATTAAATTCTAATATTTCAGTGAAGTTTCAAGAAAAAAAAAATATATCAAACCAACGCAATGCTCATTGGGTCGCTACGGAAACAACTTCTTTGTATAATTACAAATGTAAGGTCTGCGTACAACTGACCTGACATCAACCAGTTGGGAATATACTGGGTATATTGTTGTTGTTGAATGTCATTAGTGTTGTGCATGAAAAAAGCTAGTGCATGAAAATATTTGTATTATGTATTTAATGTAAATTATATTAATCACTTAGTGAGACGAATAAAAAAGATTATAGTAATGTTGTATATTGTTTTAAAAAATAAAATGTAATTATAATATATATATATATATATATATATATATATATATATATATATATTTGCTTTATTTTGTGTAGAGATTGCTCTCATTGCATAAACTCACCGATTTATTTATTCACGCTTCTGAGTCCATTCGGGACTACATTCAACTTGATCTATGTAGTCGTCGTCAGACGGTGGGTTGGAAGGTATCGGGAATTCTAGAATCTCATTCTCGATGGGGTCTTCGGGCATTGTGGCACGTATAAAATTATGAATAAGCGCGCACGTCATGATAATGCGATTTTGGGTCTTAATGGGGTAAAAGAGTTACTCCTAAGAATTGTCAAACGCATTTTTAGAATGCCAAAAGCACGTTCAATCGCGTTCCTAGCTTTGGCGTGCCGAAGGTTGTAGAGTTCTCTAAAGTTTTGTGGAGTACAAGATCCTGTACCCCATTCATCTAAGTGATATCTGACACCCCTATATGGCGATAGAAAGCCAGGACCATTTGTGTAACCACCATCCACCAAATAATAGTGTCATGCATTATAAAGGATTGTGTTATGTTCTAAAATTGTGTGTTTTACGGGTGGGTGTTGTTTACACTATTTATACTAAAAAATAGAGGGAATACCGTTTGGGACTCGGAGAGAATTTGCCCTAGTGATTGCATCTCTTAGTACTCGATTATCAGCAGACCCCTCCTAGCCACAAAGCATGTAGACGAAGTTCATATTTCCATCGCACACCCCAAGTGCATTAACTGATACCTGACCCTTTCGATTCCTATATCTTCCCCTATCTTTCGATGGGACTCGGACGTTAATGTATGTACCATCTAGTGCTCCTAGACACCCCTAACGGAAAAAAAAAATATATATAGTATTAGTTTGGAAGGAGTATAAAAGAAAAAAAAATGACTAAGCGTTGGTAAGGGTGTTGTGTTGTAGGCTACCTTGAACCATTTCCACCGTGCATCTGAACAATCATCCTCAGGTTATAACATATGCTCTTAGCGAAAGGAGAGGAATGCCAACTTTATCTCTCACACTATTTGTTCCTCGTCCCCCCACTCTGCCTCCTGTGAAGGCGGATTACCGCATAAAGTACACGGTTAAAGTACTTGCTTACTGTTCTACCTGATATCAACTTCAATGTGACGTTTTTCTTGTGATGTGCGAGGATTGAAAGAAACATAGCAACTTGTTCACTCGGTGCAACGTTTCTAGATTGAACAAGACCCCCTAAATTTTCAAGGAGGAAACAAAGGCGACCAAAACAGTTTATGTCCATACGGAGGTTCTCAAGGCAAGTGGTGTCGCTGACGTCGACTAGCCTTT